TAGAAAATAGAACAAGTTTCATTTTATATAAAGCTTTTGTGAATGTCTTGGCTTTTCAGCAGAAATTTTTCATATGTCATGAGGGCTAAATTTTGATCTTGGATCAGCAGAGAAAACTGCCCTACTGATTCCTGGGAATGTCTGGCCCTAAGAACATGAGGCAACTCCTTTGACTAATGAGAGTTTGTCTGCATAGAGGTATTGGAAAAGGTAATTAAAGGTGTAATGCATGTTAATTAAAGTCTGTTAAATTCTCATGCTCATGATTTTATTTATTAATTGAGTGGCCTGAGGTCACGATCATTCAATCCAAGACTGTAGAGGGTAAGGACCCTGTGATAGACACCACAACAAATGTTTATTTTTATTTATTTAATTATTTTCCCTTTCCCTAACTTAAGAAAAGTGTCAGGAGTTCACTCTTGTGGACAAATCCATTTGTCAGATGCAGAAGAGAAAAGTAAAATGGGCAAGGGCAATGCTGGAATTTTCTTTCAAGGAGTTGTATTTCAATCTGTTTTGAGGTCTGTATCATGTCAATCTTCAGTTGGAAAGACGGAGCCTTTCATTTCTGGATCGTAATTAATGCTCAGATTTTATGCATTAACAGTAGCCAGCGGGAGAGAGGAAATTGGGAGGGGGAATAGGATATGGTAGCCATGTCTCAGCGCAGCCCATACTGAGTTGCTAGGTCAGAGAGGAAGGAAGCTAGCTGCCAAAAGAGTGTATATTTTTTTTTCCCAGTCTCTGGTAACTCCTGGAGTTCTCAGACATATTTTGAGACTTCTCTGGTGTCTTGCTATCAAATCCACACTTGTGAAAACATGACTTTTGCTGTTGTGATGTTTGCATTGCGTGGAGATTGCAGAGACTGAGCTGCAAGACAAAGGCAAGCAGTGCCCAAGATCCACTGTTTACAGAGAAGGTGTCTGAATAGAGCCTTGCTGGTTCTACAAACAGTTAGTTTGCGTGTGTTAATTCGAATCACTTTCAGTTTCGGCTGGTAAGTGGTTAAAATAAAGAACATTCTTGCTGACTGTACGGACTCCTGTCAACTACTGCTGTATAGGCAGACACTACGTCACGGCCTTATCTCTGTTTAGCTTGTCTGTGCTTTATCATGTTGCAGAACAGTTTTAATAAAAAGAAAAAAAAAAAAGAAAAAGAGGGGGGAAAAAAAAAGAGACTAGTATGAGTAGCTGTAAGTAGAACTATCTGAAAGCAGCAGATCTGGAGTGCTTTACACCAGCTGCTTACTGAAACAAAGAGAAGTATTATGAGAGGCACAATAAATGTGTTTGCTATCTCTGCTCTCAGTTGCAGCGCAGACACAAGCCGTCACAGTAATGAATTTTGAAGACTGGAGTTTGGACTTGGGGAATTTTATAAAACACAGTTGTTTTATCAGAGTGTTGTCTTGCCAGCTGTGTGATGCGAGTCTGGTTACCATGGAGCGTGGTCAGTTGGGGGAGACACATCTAGTCAGTAAAACAGCATTTTGTGTGGTAGACTCTGCTGTGGTTTCTCCCTCTCCGGTTTAAATTCCAGTTTGGTAAGGAGGAAAGTAGTGGGGAAAGAAGCTGCCTTTTTGTTTAAAGAAAAAGCATCAAACTTAGAGACCACATGAGAACTTGTGGTGCAGTACAAATACAGTATCTATACATACAGTGTATGCCTGTAAACAATGTAGAGGTATGTTTCTTCTCTCTCTTACCCTGTTCTCTGGATTCTTTTGTTTGCTGCTCTTCTCTCCTTGCCTTGGTCTGCAGGGTGGGCTATGCAAGATGCTGAGCACTGGCCACCTATATCTTCTTGTGAGGAGGTAGCAGTGTCTTCTGGCCCATCCTGGAAGAGATTGAGGGTGTAAGAGCTCTCTCTTGTTGCACCTACCTGTAGTGTATGCCTGTAAACAATGTAGAGGTATTTTTCTTCTCTCTCTTACCCTGTTCTCTGGATTCTTTTGTTTGCTGCTCTTCTCTCCTTGCCTTGGTCTGCAGGGTGGGCTATGCAAGATGCTGAGCACTGGCCACCTATATCTTCTCATGAGGAGATAGCAGTGTCTTCTGGCCCCTCCTGGAAGAGATTAAGGGTGTAAGACTCTTGTTGCACCTACCTGCTCTACCGCTGCCACCTCTTCCAAGTTGTGTTAATTTGATTAATTTTGGCCAGGTGGCCCTGTGGTGCTGCAGATACCCCAGGCAGTTCTGGTATGTCCATCTCCAGGCCTTGGTGTCCCCTGCATAATTACCACATGACTTTACAATTAGAAAAATGCATTGCCAAATTCAACAGGCTTGTATTAGAAGCCATTCCTTTCTTTGCTGAATTTCTTTAGTATGGGTTTCTTTAATTCCAACATACAATAGCGTTAGCCTTTTTACCAGATTTTGTAGCCCTGTGGTGCTGCAGATACCCCAGGCAGTTCTGGTATGTCCATTTCCAGGCCTTGGTGTCCCCTGCATAATTACCACATGACTTTACAATTAGAAAAATGCATTGCCAAATTCAACAGGCTTGTATTAGAAGCCATTCCTTTCTTTGCTGAATTTCTTTAGTATGGGTTTCTTTAATTCCAACATACAATAGCATTAGCCTTTTTACCAGATTTTGTACTCAATCTGGAGCTAATATATAAATGCTTGTGTACATATAATAAGATGCAGTTTTATAATTTAAATTCCAACATACAATAGCGTTAGCCTTTTTACCAGATTTTGTACTCAATCTGGAGCTAATATATAAATGCTTTTGTACATATAATAAGATGCAGTTTTATAGTTTTGTTTTTTTTTTAAAGAAAAACCCCATTGAGGTAATTGTATAGTATCAGGCTCCTACCTGCTGTTTGGGAAAAAGGAAAAGTTTCTAACTTGTTAAATCGGACAATATCTAGAGATTTTTGTCTTTCATAAACACCAGAGTTAGCTTTACACAGATATTTATATTGCCTGTGTTCCTGTCAGGGGTTGCTGAGGAGAAGTCAGTAGGAGTTTGGTGCCTACATGGAATTTGTAAATCCTGTAATGGAATTTTGAGTTTTGAGTCTTCAGAAGTGACCTCAGATGCTGCTGAGAGAAGAGTGATTGCATAAGGGTGGGATGAAAGTATCACAAACCTTAGTTGATGAAAGTTTTATCTTTTGACATTGGTGTTAACTTATTTTTTTCGAAGTGAGGGAGATTACTCACTAAGAGGAACAGGTATGATGTGGTTTACTTCTAAAGTTTAGGATGCGAACACTACGTAGGTGGAGGTTTCTACTGGCATAATACAAAGGCTGAATTAAAAATGCAGAAATTTTATTGATAGGAAGATTGTTTCACACGAGAGGTATTTTATCAAAAAGCTTCTCTTGTGACACCAGAGTGGTTGTGGAGAGCCTCCCAATTAACACTTTGGTTGTTTTGAATAGGAGAGGGTCTGGGTGTCTGTCTGAGAGCATTTGCAGTAGAGCAGAGTTTTTACTATTTAGAGCTGAGATGGAAAGTTCCTATTTAGATTTGGTGCCAGAGTCTTTAATAGAAATCATGACTTGTGGTGTATTATAGGTCAGTGTATGTTTGCTAGTTTATATTATGCTGACTAAATTGGCAAAATGCTTATTTTTACTGGTAAACATTCAGGAGGTTTTCTCCTCACTCGTTCCTTTTCCAACAAAATAGTATTTGTCGTGTGTGGAATTAAGGCAACATTTTATAAATCATCTGCCCCGGCGATGATGTGAAAATGTGTGGTGGTGTACAAAGATTTCCATTGTCGGGCACCTCAGGACTGTAGATGGAGTTAACTTTATCCTAATTTTAGTTCTGGAAATTATGGCCATGTAAAAAACAAAATGCTTCTGGCAGTGTAGGAAAAATACAAATTTTAAACTCTAGCAAAAGTGGCTATTTCAGGCATATTACCAGAATAGGTAACCCTGGTTAATTTAGCTCCTCTCCAAGCCCCTTATGAAGCCCCAAAAGCATTTTTTAACATCTTTAAATTCCTCTGAGGTCTAAATATGACCTGTGGCTGTAGGGATGTGAGTTCCAGTAAAGTCCATAACTGCTGGTGAAACGCAGTACTGTGCTTCAGGCTATACATTGAGTGAGACATTTAATTGAAATGGGAAAAGTGCTGTGGTCAGACTTTAATGCCTGCTTAGTAACAATATGTGAATGTGTTTATGCGTGAGCTAATTGTATCACTTCTGGAATCATTTATACACAGCTCCCAAAGGCTGCGAATGGCATTTTCTGATAAGTGTCAGATTATATAAAATTTATAATCTCATTTATAATCTGCTATATTCTACCACCTATCTGCCGGGTTGAGAATTAGCATTCTTAAAATTGAAATGTTGTGATTCTTGTGCTGAAGAATTGTGCTATTTTGCTCATTGCTCCAAACATAGTTTAGAAGTATAGAGAAGGACATCTAAGGACAAACTTAAAACTTCCATCAGCAAGTTTCCATTTTTTCCCCTAATTTTTACCTTGCATAGTTATATACTAGACAAGCTTGTTTTGGACAGCTTTTTGTAAAAGGAATCGTTTGAGAATTTGAACGTTTATTCAGTTTTAGATCTTAAATATTTGGCATAAATGTGAACTGCAGCCCTGGAATTTATAACCACAACCATAAGAAAAGGAACAAAGCGTATTTCATTGCGAATAGTCATGCTTTGCAGAATGAGGTAATGAGAGTTCAGTGTTGGAATGGCAGCTTGTAAGAGGGAATGCCTCTGAATAAAAACGCTGTTGAGCGTTAGCTCAACCTTTCAGATCATCTGGGGTGAGTTGACCCCTCTCATATTACCTTTTTTCAACTGTTTATTCCAGCATGAAGCATTAAAGTTTGGTTTATGATGCCTCGTTTATCTTACAACCATGCTAAATGCGCCTGTGCAGACCTGACATCTGTTTGGCAAATTTTTCTGCAAGAACGTTTTCAAAGAGCGTGCTCTTTTACCTCTCTTTTCCCTGAGAGGTTCGTTCTCACTTGTCCTCTCCCCGCAGGTGAGGCAGCCCTAAGAGGCGAGCCCAGGATGCAGTCTCTGCCCGTCTCCTCCGCGCTCACCAACCATCGCACGGGCCCTCCTCCCATCAGTCCCAACAAGAGGAAGCTCAGCATGGACCAAGGGGATGATGAGCTAGACTGTGAAAATGACCACGTTTCTAAAATGAGTCGGATGTTCAATCCGCATCTGTAAGTGCCTTGCTTTTGTTACCTCTGGTAATTTCGAGTTTAGTGCTACCCTCTTGGTTTTTGTGCGCGCTCAAATCGGGCCGCGTCTAAAACTTTGTGCTGGGTTTGTCCTTTGTTCCAGTTTGTACGGAAGATCTGTACAAAGGCTGGTGTGATTAGATGGGTGACTCCTTGTTTTCTTTTGTTTTCGTACGGCATGAAGTAACAGGAATTAGCCCAACTTTAACTATTTATAGTAAAAATACGCATTCACCTTGCAATTCCTAAAGTATTGTTCCTTTGTTCTGCGCAATCCCCTCCTTTCACTTCCCCTGATTCTGAGCTCTCTGTACTCCCTGCCGATGGGGGTGGGGAAGCAGGAGGAGGGGAAACAGAAGTGCTTGGCGTTTTTTTCTGAGGCCGGGGAGATTGCGAGCCAGCTGCTCCCAGTCTGCCTTGACAACTGGGCAAGCTGCAGTTGTTGCTAAACATGACTTAAAGGATCGCACCGCCGCCGCGCTGACAGTCAGATGTGGAATTTTTCGCCCAGGTAAGGTGTTGATGAGCGAGGTGCATGTGTTGGGTAATCACCAGATGCCATTCTCATTCCTGGGAAGGCAGGGCTGGTTGGCATGAGGCGCAGGCTTAGGGAATTCCTGTCATTCCTGAGCGGAGGAAGCGACGGGAGCGGTTCAGCAGCCCAGGGCAGGCCGATAGCAGCGCCTTTCCCTGCTGCCTCAGCTCCCGCAGCCGCTGCATTCCCCGCATTCCACGCTGCTCTGCACTGTTGTGTTCGCTCATAAGATGCGGACGGAGGTATTTATCCTCAAATAAATCACCACAGTGTTAGTCAGAGGCTGGGCCTGCAGTCTGCAGTCTTGGAATTTGTTACAAATCAGGAATCCAGCGCTGAAGTAATGCAAAACAATAAAAGCTCACAAGCAGAGAGAGACTTCTCATTTACAACATACCTCCTCCTTTCCCCTGGAAACTTAACTATTTACAGCCTTGCCTTGGAGCTGAGAGTGCTGGTATTGGAAAGGACCAAAACCTGCGTTTCTGTGGCGAACGTACATGAGACAACTGAAGAAGTTTATGGCATTTTTGAATTATTATGTAACTTTGTGGGAAAAGGTGTGATTTTTCTAAAAAGCTCATTTGCTAGTGATGAAATAAAACACAGCTGGCAGTTACGTACATTGTAACACTTTATATAGTGGAGGACATAAAAATATTGAAGTCTGAACCAACAGACTCACGTGCAACCAAGGTTCAAAACTAAAAGATACAGGCAGTTATTTCATGAAATCCCTTAGATGTATTTTAAAGCTATCTGATCTTTTCCAGTATGCTACATTTTTACTCATCCAGTATGGTACATTTTAACTCTTTCTGTGAGTTTGTATATTAAATTTACATCTTTTCGTCTTATAATAAAAAGCAGTGGTTGTCTTGCTAGTGGTGATGTCGTGGGACCTAATCTATTTCAATTAAGCCATCTACAGCAGATGAATCGTAATCCAAAATAACAGACTCAAGGCCGTCATTTTCTTACTTTATTTTGTAAGTTTGATTTGGCCGTATGAAAATACACTTTCGACTGAACTTTACAAAACCTCAAACTTTTCTGATATGTCTGAAATAACTGAGTATGTGTATATTTCAGATATATCAGAAAAGGTCATAAATGTTATCTGAATTTTACTCTCATTTCCCTGCTGCCACCACCAATGAGGTTATTTTTTCAAATGTTTTTCATATTTTCCCTCTTTTATGGATTATGACGTTCTGGTTTAACAATAGAAATGGATTACTCCAACTTTGTTGAATTGCCCTAAAAATTTTGTTTTGGAGGCGGGAAGTGTATTGTAGAAGCTTGATTTGTTTGCACTAGGGAGAAGACAGTAGATTTGGGGAAAGAAATATTTTATGAAACACAATAATGGCAGTCACATTGTGTGGTGACTTGGAGGTTCTAGAAGTGCAAGTTTAACAACATTCACTTTAGAAAACCAAATCCATAGATGTGGAGCCTTACATGGAGACTAGATGGCACGGTATCTCTGGTGATAGCAAAGACATTTTTGTGATTTGGACTCTAAAGTTTAGAGCCTATGTATTTTGAACTTTTTGGGACAAAGTCCCCTGAAAGCATAGGATGAAAAAGTTGGTGACACAAAAACTGGGCATAGCTGCCCGAGTCAATATTAGTTAGGGCTACAGACTGCACACCTTTGCCACATAGTGGTGTTTAAGTCCTGGCTGAATATCCTCAGTTGTGTTAAATGTCCAGATGGGCAAATCTTTTTCATTTGGAAGCCAGTGCCTGGAAGACAGAAGTCTTTATAACCGCGAGTAGCTCTTGTTCAGACACTTGGGTCTCTGTGATTGCGTTGGTAGAACTGTGAAGCAGTTGTATATTCATCCTCTTAACACCAGCATATTGTGGTTAGGAACATAATTAAATGGGACAAGAATTGTGTGCTGCGGTTCATTATAAATGGTAGAACCTTTTGTTAGCAATTGGATGTTAACTCTTGGGTACCAGCAGCCTCACAGCTCGGTCACTGTGTTTCAGTTGGAATGAATCCATTTGCATGCTTGGGATACTTCAGTAGCAATCCCGTGATGCCAGCCTTTTGTTTGGAAATTGAGTGCTTTGAGATATTCCCTGCTCAGGTGTAACTCCCTGATGTGTCATCTTTGAGTTGTACTTGGGTATGTTTACTTTTATCATGGAAAAACACAACTATTGGAGTACAGTCTCTGGAGTAGAGCAAGTCAACCACCCTGGCAATCCGACTGTGTTTCTATAATACCTAATGGAATTCATGTGCAAAGAACAATTTATCAAAGGCTCTGTTTTTCAGAGGAGATAATTCTCAGCTTTAGGATAATAAAATATACTTGAGACCCTGTGGATTAATTTCTAAAAATCAGTATATGAAACTGCCTGCCTTAGGGCAGTGTACTGGACTGTATTTATAAAGCTTCTGTATTGTTGGGGTCACAGAGATTACACCCATAAGCTCCTCACATGGGGAGGATGAATACTTCCAGCCCAAATTAAAACCTAGGCACTGTAATGTGAAGTTCCTTCATTTGTGTTTTCACGCTTCCTTGCATGGCCCTCAAATGTTTTACCTAAAATGCATTTGCTAAAGTATAATCTTGCTGAAGTAAATGTGCTTTTTGTACCGTACTCTATTTTCTGGTGCTTTGTAAAGAAGCAGCAAGCTTATTTTAAGCCTCAAGTTGAAACATGCCTTTGTTTTCGTATGACTTCACTAAAATCACCTTGATTTACAGAAGAGTAATTAGGAGCTTGATTTATGTAAGAAGTACAAGCACTTTATGTAGGGGTAAAGTGGCTGGAGAGCTGTACCAGTCTTACTTAACAAATGGAGCTGCTTTGTTATATTTCCAAGGTGAATTTAGCATTTCATGGCAACTCCCGTGTAAAATTACCTCGATCTGGGCATTGTGATGTAAGGGGAACGTGAATGAAGTGTGTTGTACCTTTAAGCGAAGGTCTCAGGCCTGACCTGTGTTATGTGGGTTTCTTGTTTGTCAGGCTGGAGGCATTTTCTCATTTTCACAGTTCAGCTGAAAACAAAGGCCTCCTTCTCCTGGCAGGGAGCTCTGCAGAGCTGACATCAGCCTTTTCCCAGCGGGCGGCAGCGCTGCCCTGAGAGCCTGCGCGGGGAGCGGAGGAGTTTCTTCTGCTCATGGCATTTTGTTTGCCAAGTAGCAAAGAAAAGGAGTAAATGCCAAGAGCTCAACATTTTAATTTTTTTTTAAAGAAGTGACACTGGGCTGGTTTTGCCTCTCTGATTTTTCTGAAGGAACTAGCAAATACGTAACTCTCAGCTGCTTTTGGGCAAGGGAGAGTGATGGCTAATACTTTATAGTTGTGGCGGAGTGATTTTAAAAATAGTTTGTGCGCTAGCAAATTGTGGGATCAAATCACTATATTTAACCTTAAAGTGAATTGATGTCACTTGACATCTTCAAAAGGATTCAGATTTTGTGTTACTGATAAAATTATATGTGCAACTGGCTATTTGAGTTTGTACTGGAAGGGACTGTTACTTTTCATAGGATCATGGAATCATTTTGTTTTGAGTACATCAGGCTGAAAGTTAGCATTTTTGGTTTGGGACAAGCAGGCTGGCGAGTGGAATATTTTCCCCTCAGTCTCTTTGTCACAATTCCCATTTGGTTTGGTGGCATTAGGATCACAATGAAAAATAATTTCTATATGGAAATAATCTTACAGCAAAAATTTTCAGCTGCTAGCTAAATGTCTGAGGAATAATCATCTCTTGATTTGTGTGACTATATAACTTGGCTTTTTCTCATAATAAAATCAAGGTCTACATATGAATAATGCAGTCTCTTTGTCACAATTCCCATTTGGTTTGGTGGCATTAGGATCACAATGAAAAATAATTTCTATATGGAAATAATCTTACAGCAAAAATTTTCAGCTGCTAGCTAAATGTCTGAGGAATAATCATCTCTTGATTTGTGTGACTATATAACTTGGCTTTTTCTCATAATAAAATCAAGGTCTACGTAGGAATAATGGAGTTTAATGTGTATCGCATAAGATGATACTTAGTTTTGGACATAACCATACAGACCCTGTTTCAAATTCTGTTTCAAATTCTAGATTGTGTCTTCACTTTTGTTACAGTGAAAAATCTTGGCAATTCTGATCTATAAAGCCAGGGTAGATTCCTGGAGTTTGGAACCTGCCGTGTATCTTAAGTTTCTTACCATGAATATCCAATGGAGTTTGCTTACTTTAATGACACTATAATAGAAATCCCCCTGGCATCCTTTTAAAAAAATCTGTTTTAAGCTGTCCTGAAAGTTACCTGGATTCGAAGAGCATCAATTCAGGTTAGAACAGGCTTGAGGAGGTCCTTTCATCCAATCTCCTGCTTAAAGCCAGGGCCAGCTGTGTCCTCTTCAAGCTTGTAGTAGCTCCATATTAGAGGAGGACTGTGTCACCT